ATATCCCAGCAAGGTGAATGTAGAATGACCCTTAACCATCCAGATCCAATTCCTGTATGCTCTCCTTATAGCCCCTGGTTTCTTCCAGCAATTCACAGTGTTGATCAACTGACATTGCCAAGGCTAGCCAAGAGAAAGAGGCCATCAGATAGAAATTCTGCCATTCATTTTTAGGTGGATTTCTAGTTGCTCTTTTGGAATCTTCCATGTAGAGAGCTTAGTCAATCTATACCTTAAGTGACATCCAGCCTAGTTTATTTCCCACACTGGCGCCCTGTTTTCTAACTTCTTTCACTCTCTTGCACCATGGGGACTCTCTCTATGGATCTATCATATGAATCCCATTGAGAAAAACATCACATACTTGAAATCCCATCAACTTTCCCAAATTGTTCACAACCACAGGAGCCAAAAGGGCTCCAAGCACTGTTCCCCTCCTTTTGATCCTGTGCAGCCAACACATATGTTTTTAATGACCATGTATTCTAAAAGATCCTAGGCAAAAGAGAGCTGATACAAGTACAAACATTTTGGTGGACCTGGCATCCTTTGAAAATTACTTTTGTTAATGGAAAGCTTCACGTTACTCTGAAGTTTCACACTCTTAGGTTCTGTTCAGCAAGACTTTAACTTTTACTCACTCAATGGGTCTTGGCAAGTCATTTCCCTCTCAGTTTACAGAGCTCCCGTTTTCCCCACAGGGGAGTAGGCTGTGATCATCTGTGGTGCTCAAAGGACTCACACCCTAAAATAGATTCTGCAGTTTTTATTACCAAAACATCTATTTCGCAAATCTAGCATTCTGTATTCTCTCGATATAATGCTGTGCAATACAGCATCTATCAGAAAAACCATTAGACAATACGGGTGATGCTTATGCAACACGGTTTACTGTCCCAGCAAGAACTAGGGATTTGTTACACACATTATGCACCCATTGTACTAGATCTTTTGAGATTTCAAATGTGTGGAGGGCAAAAAGTCACCAATATTAACACTAGACTATGAATTCTTTGTAATACCAAGCCATAGCCTAATGTCTAGTATAGAATAGCTATACAATAAAAGTTTATGGAAGAAATGGCATAATTTGGGTTATACGTATCTGTGTTTTTAATGGGTTAGATGATTTCAAGATGCTAAAATTTAGAGCTTTGAGGGGAGAAGTATTGGAAGAGGAGAAAATGTTTTCTCTCTGCTCTTCATGTGCCTTCCTGTTTCACTTAGGGTTCTTAGTCACAAGCGGCAGAAACTGATTCTAGTTGCTAGGAGCAGAATGAATCGAAAGTGTGTTATGTAGCTGGCAGAATAGCTGGGAAGGCTAGAGAAGGAGGCCTGAGCAATGGGCAGGACCAAAGATGAGCAACCAGCCTGAAAGAGTTCTCTAATGCTGTGTCTACAAGGTCCTTGGCCAGTGCACATGGCTAGTGCACATGGCTAACTAAGCCCAGATTGCATGCCATGTCATAGCTTCTGAGGACCTGGGAAACAAACGTCTGGCATTTCCCGGCTTGCATGATTGGAAGTAGCTCTGAATCTCACAGTGGCCTGTAATATGGGAATTCCCTAAAGATGGAAAGGGCTGCACAAATGGGGCAGCCAGAAAAATAAAAATAAAAAAATGTGGAAGATTCCGCTACATTTCCCCCTGGACAAATCCCCAGGGTCCAGCATTCTGAATTTCTTCTCTCCTTCGACTTTTGGCCATCCCTGCTTTGACAATCCTCAACACGGAGTAAACAGGAGCCCTGTATATATCATGGGTCTCAGGCGGTTAAAAGCCACTGAGGACGTAAATTGGTCATAAGTCTTCTGTCTACTCCTAGTAAGCCCAGTTAGTACGATGGTTCTAAATCCATCCCTAACTCTTACCTCACCCCACAGATATTTAATTTTGTACATGTATTCAGAAAAATGTGACCCAGGAGATTCTGATGCATACTACTGACTGGGAAATGTGTCTTAATTGTTCCCATTTCTCACAGTTTCTTTACAAACCACTTCTGTTTTTCTGGAGTCCCCTCCCACACCCCATCAGTCTCAACCAATGGCCCTTCCGTCAGCTGGGAAAACTAGGCTTCCAATATACGCTCCCTCAACTTCTCTCTCTTTCAAATAAAATGACTTCATCTTTGCCCATTCCATCTTCTGTCTGACTTCATTTCCCCATCTTTCCAAGCCTACCTTGGCCACCAGTGCTCATCTGGATGCCCTCTGGTCTAATCTGAGACTTAATACTTACCTCCCCTTTGGACTGTGTCTTTGTTCTCACTTCCCTGAGGCCTAATTCCCTTTGGCCCTGAAACATTCAAGTCTCACCTGATCTAACAACCCTTCAACTTGACTCTGCTTCCCATAGACCACCTTCCTGTTCCCCCCACCACCTTCATCTTTCACATCCAGACATCTGAAAGGAGTGGTTTGTACTCAAGGATGTTCCTTCCCCACCTCTCACTCATTCAAGTCTCTGTAATTGCTTACAGGCTCACCCACCCACCCACACACACACACACACACACACACACAGCTCTCTCAATGTCACCCATGGCTTCCTGGCTGCCCAAGCCTCTTAGTCTGCATCTTTCTTGACCTCCCCAAACCACCTGACTCTGTTGAAAAACCCTTTCCTCCTGTTGTGGCTTTTCGTAGAAACATCCCTCTTGATTTTTCCTTCTAATCTTCACATGATACTTCCTCAGCCTCCTTTCCTGGGCTTTCTCCTCTTCTCGTTCTGTTTTCTTACCCTGGCCATTCTTTCTTTAGCTATAACCACAATGTAGATGACACCCAGGTATGTGTCCCCAATCGTGATTCTTCTCTCTTGAGATTCAAAGCTTTCCAACTGGTCACTTCCAAAAGATGCCTAAGCCTGTCTTCCACTCCATCTCAGCTTCCATCATGCCTTTTAAAAATTTAGCATAGTAAAATATACATAACATAAAATTTACCATTTTAACCACTTTTAAGTATGCAGTTCAGTGACACTAAGTGCATTCACGTTGCTGTGCTCTTCTAATTCCTTTTTAATATCTGTGTAACTGGAGGGGAAAGGACCACTTATTCATCACTGGGGGCTGCCCCACCTTCATATTACTGGCCGAGCCTGGTGCCTGGTGGTTATTATAAACATGAGCTCTGGAGGGTCTGATCTAAGTTGAAATCCTATAGCTCCATGACTCTGGCTGAGTCTTTCCACCTCTCTGTCTCACTTTGCTCATCTTGTGTTCTCTACTCTTGTTGGGTACGCAGTCACTCCGCCAAAGTACTAAAAGCTTTGTTCATTTGTGAGCTGACACCCCTCAAAAAACTGGTCCTCTGGAGCTGGCTCTGGAACTGAAGAGAAAATGAAGCGTTTGAAGAAAGTGATGGGTCTTAGCCAGAAAGCAGAAGTTCTGGATATACTGGAGGGGGATGTCAAATCTGGCGTTGCCTTGGATTTACGACACAAACAGCTCCACCTACTCCTGTTATGAAAAGAAAGAGAAAACAATCAATCAGTGAAACTGTTTTGGTGACTGCTTCAGTCTTTGGGCAGAGTAGTAATTGCTCTTCAAGTGACAGGTGAAACCTCTCTGAATGTTGAAAAGGTGATTTAGTAGAAATTGCAAGAATTTGCCCAGGAAAGAGGTGATTTGGAGAAATTTGATGTGCCTACCTTTCAAAATGCCTTCTTAAGTCTTGCATTTATAGAGTCATCAAGGATCTAAAGAGGTCACATTGGTTTTTTTCCCCCATGTTTATTTCATTTTATGGAGGAAAGTTTGCTTATGAATGTTGGGAATTCTAGCAGCCCCCTCCTGGAGGTGGAGACGTATTTTGTTTTTAGCTTTTTGTTTCCTTTTGGACTGGATCTTATCTATCTATCATTTCCAGCCCAGGGCCTGGCATAAAAGATGCACTTTAGAACTGCCGCCTGTTTCAGTAAAGAAGAGGTGAAGTGTTTTGGTGACCAGATCCTCCTACTTTTCCTTTCAGAGACTGAGTACAGAAGTAAAGATTCTCGGAGTTTCAGCCCAGGATGTCACAGGATAATGTTCAGAACAGATTGCCCTTTACAAAGCACCTTTATACGCATACTTTATCTTGTTCACCACTGACAGACACTCCATTTTTTAGATGAGCAAACTGAGGTTCAGAGTGGTTAAGTGACTTGCCCAAGGCTTCACAGCTAATAAGTGATCAAGCCCAGCCTAGCTGAGCACCTATAACTACAAACTCTCTGTTGTCTTTCTAACCCACATTTGGCCTCACAGAGGGACGGCCTGTGTTGAGCTACACCCTGCCCTTGGCCAACTTGACCGCTGAGGATCCTGCCATTTAAGGCATGTGGATGAGGCTGTTGGAAATGTCCCCATGTGGAGTCGAAGCGTTTGGCACGAGCTAGAAGGCAGGACGTGCTGGGGCCCCGCTTTCTGTCAGAGGCCCCTGGGCTGGCGTCTGCACGTCCCCAGTGAGCACGTGTCCACCTGGGCGCACCAACCGTGCGCCCTAGCGGCTCCCGGTGCGCCCTGGGTGCCAGCCCGCCCGCGCGCTGCCCGGCCGCGCCTTGGGGTCCTCCCCACTCCCCGCGGCTGCAGCCCCGGTGTCTCCCGCCCGCTTAGAGCAGCCCGGGGTAGCGGCCGCGGGTCCCCCACACCCCAGGGGCGGAGCGAGGCGCGGAGACGTCAGGGCGGAGGACGAGCGCTGGGCGAGCGCGCCCTCCCGGCTGCTGCCAGTGGCCCACGTCCCCGACTGGCGCGGCCGGCGGCGGGGAGATGCAGGGAGCGGCGGCGCTGGGGCGCAGCCAGGCGGCCGGGCGGGCGGGGGCCAGAGGCTGAGCCGGGCGAGCCAGCCGCGCACACAGCTCTGCCCGCCACCTCCGAAGCGGATCCCTGGACACCCCTCGGCTCTCCCTGGGTTTCTAGCAAAGTCCCCCCAGGGTGTCCATCAATTTCCTTGGGTGACTACAGCGTGTGTTTTGTTTTTCTTTCTTCCTTCCCTCCCTGTGTGCCCTTCTCCAGGATGGCAGAGGCGGAATTGCACAAGGAAAGGCTGCAAGCCATAGCAGTAAGTCCACTTTCATTTTATTTTCTTGCTCTATTGTCTGGAATGGAAGAGGACCCCGAGCGCTTCGGGGCCGTCGACATTCCAGCACAGTAGCCGCAGGACATGTGTTTTGGGGATAAAAGTCTGTCAAGGCTCAGCTACGCTGCTTTTTCCTTTATGGTCTGTAGATGGAAAGCCCCAGGGCGCGCTTTGGGCTGGGGATTTGAATGTGGAAGATTGGCTTAGAAATAAGATGCTTGCTACTGGGCTTTGGGGAAAGACTAAACAGGAGCATGAGGGGTAGGGGTCGCGGGGGGGGCGATTCCTGGAATATTACCACCCAGTGCTCAGTAATACTCTGACTTCAGACACTGGAGAATGGCGGGAACGGTCACCAGAACGGTGGCTGCCATCCACTCTGCGGAAGCTGTTGGTGTGCTAAGTGGAAAACCAGCAATCAGCTCCACTGCCAGCCACGCGGTAGAACCTCCTCCCTGAAAGCGGGAGTGTTCATTTTTCCTGTTCTGTTTGATATCGACAAGGGCACTGGCACAAGCCACCACCCTGGGGGTGGAGGGCGGCGGGTGATCTGGGGACTTCTTAGAACAACTGGGTCCTGGGAATAATATTCCAAGAGAGCCTCCTTCTTCTAGGTGTGGATCATCTGAAAACCTATTTTCAGCATACAAAGGAGCAACCAGTTTTGGCAAAGTTTATGTGCACTCTCAGAAAAGTGTACCCATGTGCATCTTGGGTATAAAAGAGCTCGAAAGCTGCCTAAATTTGAGCAATCCTGCCACAGTGCTGCCAATGATCCACAGATGTGGTATTTTCACTGGAGCCACCACAGCTGGATTATATATTTCCTTTTCAGATGAGGGAATGATTACTGCTGCTATATGAAATAATAGCAATTAAAAGAGGTCTCTTAACATATTAGCATAAGAGAATCGCCAGACATTCTTTTACCTAAGTACTTTTTTTTTTTCTTTTTGGTCCAGGAGTTCCCTAGAAACACATGTAAATTTGTTGGAGAAATGGTGTGTAATGTTTTGGAAGCAAAGTATATTAAAGTGTTTTTAAATCCCTTTGGACGGATCCTTCACTGGGAAATGCATAGACTCTTCTTTTTTAAAGAAGCGTTTGATGTGGTCTCTGTGGCTCTGAGATCCTCTTTATCAAAGTCTTCAAATCTTAAAATGTCTTGGAGACTTTACAGCTGAAGCAAGAGAGACTGTTGGCACTGTTGAATGCTATGGCTTTTTTGCCTATTGGGCAATCTTTGAACTTGGTCCTCAGAACTCAGGAAAGCTTTTTTTTTTCTTTCCCTTTCCCTCTGAGTATGTGTATTTTGATGGTTAGTGAGGTTGTTTACGGTTTCTAGAGTTAGTGGCCCAGCAGTGTGGCCAGTATGTCATGAACTTGATAAGAATGGAGATATTCAGTTCTTGGTGCCATGTAGCTGGTGGGTGTTTTATATAAACTGAATAATAGGCTGCTTTAACTGTCCATGAAGTGGCTGCTCCGGAGAAGGTTCAGTTGCTCCCATCGGAGGCCGCTGAAGGTTTCCAACAGTTGTCACATTCTCTGTCTTTGCATGACCAGCTTTACTGGATGCCTGAGGAACAGCTGAGCCTCATGAAAGGACTTGCTTTCTGAACGGGGAGCCAGTAGCAGCTTACACTTGGGCCACCCTTTTCCGAGTGGGGCTGGGTAATCCCAGCAGAGGCTAAATGGACTTTCAAGAAAGATCTAGCCAGTCTGCTGGAATTCTCATGCCTGTTCAGTTGTGGAATTGAGTTTGTCCTGTACCTGGGAAGGTGTTGATGATTCTCATGAATGATTCGGCCTCAATGAATATATCTGTTGTTATTAGTGCAGACTTTCTAACAGCGAATTAACTGTGTGTGTGTGTGTGTGTGTGTGTGTGTGACAGAGAAAGAGACAGACAGAGAAAGAGAGAGAGAATTGAGAGATGGGGTGGAGGGGCTTGTGACCACATCAGTAAATAGTTCTATGCTGTGCTTTGGTCTAATGCATACTCTCCAAATTTTGCAACCTTGCCTCTTTCTGCCACCTTCCTGGGATTCTCAGGGGACCCTCAGGAGCTCACGAGGCTGCTGCCAGAGCCTAGCCCTCCTGAAATCTCTCTGGAGATGTGAAGGAAGAAGAGAATGATTCTTTTGTTTGTTTTTTTGTTTTTTGTTACTGGTTATCTATTTTATACATAGTAGTGTATATATGTCAATCCCAATTTCCCAATTCATCCCCCCCCGCCACCCTGCTTTCCCCCAGGAGGAAGAGAATGATTCTTTATCTCTTCACCAACTTGGGTTCCTCTCCAAGAGGAAGAGCAGATAGTTGGAGATTCTAATCTGTAGGCTCTTGGGTACTCTTTAGTCTGGAGCTTGGTTCCTTCATCTGTAAAGGGGGCTCATGAGTTCTACCTCAGCGGCTGGCTATAAGGTTTAGATATGGTGCAGGTGAAGGACCTGGCATGCAGGGGTCAGTAGATGGTCTTGAGCTAGAGCCCCCAATTCCTGTCTACACTGCTGCCTTGTCCTGTGAGGGTGAGAGGCAACATCTCTGAAACAGAAAGAGTCTAAATAGCCCTCTTTATCCTTTCCTTTACTCGACTGAAGGCCAGAGCTCAGCCCAGTGTCAATTTCACTAGCTCCTCAGACCAGGTGCAGAGATGTGACTGGAGGATCCATCCATCCAGTCATGCAGTAGGTATTTACAAAGTATTGCCTCTTGGAAGGGACTGGCAATACCAAAAAGCCAGTGTCCCCAAGTTTCAGCCATCAGAGGGAAGACTTTACCCTTTGCACACTTAAGTTCTAAAAGGGGCAGATGTCCTGTGACCTACTAGCCACATGATCATCTGTGGGATTTTTTTTCCCCCCAAGGGAGTGAAATACTCAGAAACTGTAGTGCTTTAATTGAATCTTCCAGTTGTGTCCAGAGACTAATCAATGAGAAAAGATGAATTTCAGCCTACTTCCTGCCAAAAGAGGAGCAAATCCATCTTGACAAGTGTCTGTACTCCCAGGTGCTCCTTCCATCTGTAGGGACTCTCCCAAAGTTGTAATTTTAGAAGACAGCAAGATGCTTCTGTAGCACAATGAATGCGGGTAATCATTCAGGGCATAATAATACAGTTGCCACTTATTGACCATTTTCTATTCAGCAGGGCTCTTGTGATGTGTGTTCTTTAAAAAAAAAAACTTAAGTTGTTAATAGTCTAACATAAACAATTACTATTCAGTAGCAGGAATACTTATGCAAATGAGCACACACCTGGAGCAGGTAAGCTGACCTGGAGGAGTTATAGAGCACTTTCCAAGAGAGGAGATGTTTGAGCAAGTCTTGAAGGTTGAAAAAAAAATGTAAAATAACACAGTAACTTCCCAATGAGCAGAAGGTGTTTATTCACTTGCTTGTTGTTAGTTTATTATTTATTTGAAATAGTTAGTATAAGAAAGGGAAAGCAAAACACATGAAGTTAAGTCAGTAGCCAAAGGCACCAACTCTGCAAAGGAGACACAAGTGCATTTGAACACAGATGATGCCATTTAATCCTAATAAGCTGATGGGGGAGGAACGTCTATATTGTCCACGTTTTAAAGAGTCCGACCTTAACAGAAAGTGTCAAGGCCAGAATCAGAACCCACACTGGAGGGCACTGGAGCCCCTTTACTGACCACTGCCAGAATTGGCTCCCCACAAGATGGTGGCAGCATCTCGTGCTCTTCCCACGAGCTCACTGGGTGGTTCGGCAGCCTCTGTGTGAGGGGATGAGGGAGAAGCAGACTGATTCAGTAGCATCGGGAAAGGCTGAGACAAACCAGGAGGCCACATCCTTTTGAGAGTCTTCCAAGCTGGGTTTCAGTGCATGGAAATACCCGATGGGAGTTCTAACAGAGTGAGTAACATTCCCTTGGAGAACAAACCACTGTGTCTCAATAGAAACCAGTTTGAGGGGAGGGTGTTGTTATGTCTGCACATCCGAGAGGAAGAGAGTCTTCCTTGGGCCCTGGTGAAGATAACTGAACGTTTCAGAGGTCATTGTGGGCAAAAGCCCTCAGAGACATAGAAAATACGGACACGTGAGTGTGTCCATATTTACTGAGATATGAGGTGCCAATCCAACCTACACTGGCTCTTTAGGGAATGTTGTCACTTAATGAGAACTCAGACTCTGTCGAATAATAAAAACGATCTTTGGCATTTGTACAGCACTTTACAAAAACCTGCACGTGATACCTTAATTCTGAGCTGCGCTGGGCAGGTCTCATTGTCTCCACTTTACAGTTGAGTATACAGAGGCGTCTGGGCTCACACAGTGAGGTGTGGAAGAGTTGTATCTCTGTCCTGACTCCTGATTCCTCGTGTTAGTGGCACGTCTAGCCTTGGAGGGGTGCTGTGCTAGGGGCTGGAGCTGCCCCTAGGATCCTTCTGAGCTGGCGGTGGGGAGAGGGGTGAGCTTGGGGGTATGTGGGCCTAGCCATGACTCTGTGGAATCTGCCTTTTGGGGGATTTCACTTTGGACCCCTCTCCCTCTTAAAATTCTCCCCCAGAGGGTACAGATAGTGGCCTGTGGCTCCCACCTGACCCCATTCTCTGTCCTGAGAAGGCCCGGATGTAGGTGGGTGGCTTAGGCTGGTTCTGCCTTTTACCCACAAAAAACACTCTTGGCATTTCCTTGGCTTCATCTCTCAGTGTTCTTCTTGCCTCTGAGCAATAAGACCTTGAGTGCCAGGGTTGCAGTGGGGACCAAAGGCTAAGGAGGCCAGTCAGCCCGCTTTGATTCAGGCCGCTTCGGTTGGCCTGCATGGCTTGGACAAAAGTCCTGGCTGCCATTTGCGTGTGATCCAGCCCAGCTTCCCAGCTCAGGGATCCCTCAGGGGTTCTAGAGACCCAAGCCCAAGACCTATAGTAACAAAAACTGTGATTCTTGGGGGGACCATCCCTGTACATGAACCTCTGTCATTGGTAGGCAGCTGGTAAAGGGCTGGAGA